AGCAGAAAAAGTAGATTGTTTTTGAGCTCCAACTCAAAAAGTACATGTCTTGCTGTCATCTCATGTAGCTGCTGAGGTGTGTGCGTGTGTGTACGGGTTTTTCCTATAACGTGGGGTATTTTTTTACAAAAAAAAAGCAGCCAGGTGGGGACCGAAGTGAATCGTAGGGACCAATGTCAGGTCCCCACGGGTCCAAATGCATGTTACAGGTGTGGGGTTAGGTTTAGGACCAAGGTTTAGGTTAGTTTTAGGGTCAGGTAAGTTTCTGTGAGGTTAATTTTAGAGTATATGGTCAGGGTTAGGCTATAAAGTCTAAAAAACATGAATGGAAGTCAATGGAAGGTCCCCACGGAGTCAAGAAACAAACGTGTGTGTGTGTGTGTGTGTGTGTGATTTATTTTTTTGTCAGATCGCATATATGATGCTTTGTTTAAAGCTTTACCATTACCTATTTGAAGTTAACTCTATCTGTCTGTCAGAAAAATATTTTATAAGCCATAGGTGATGAGCATTTATACCTGATTAACTTTTGGAGTCAGTTCAATGACTGTCACATTAGCCATCAGAAAACCAATTAAAGGTATTTGACTTGATGTGTTAAACAATATATTCAAACAAATTACATTTGGATTCTGGAAGYTTTGTAGGGTCAAACAAATTTAAAAAGAGCAGTGTTTAGCACACAAGYTGCTTGTTGAATAGGTCTGTGTTATTCATATATTGCTCATAAGTCAAAATGTTTGTCTTCTTTCACACTTCTACAGAACTTACAGAGTGCCGACAGGGCTCACCCACTCATTGGTTTTCACTTATCTGAGCTCAGAATTCTCTTTTCAAAACTGGAAGTAGAGACTGGGTAGAGTAGAGTTTGCATGTTTTCTCTGTGCATGTGTGGGTTTTCTCTGGTTTCCTTCTACAGACCAAAATCAAGACTGTTAGGCTAAATTGTCCCTAGGCGTGAGTAAGAGAGTGAATGGTTGTCTTGTTTGTCTCTATGTGGCCTTGTAATGGAATGGAGACCTGTCCAGGGTGTGCCCCGCCCCTCACACAGGGATATGAACAGCAGTAACCCCCTGGGACTCTAAAAGGAAGAAGTGGGTAAAAGATAAAGGATGGATGCTTTTTTCTTCAGTAAGACTTTTATATTGACTGACTGAGTTTCTGCTCTACTTCACTTTCTGCCTGTCAAATTCAGACTGCTGTTACAGGTGTGTGGTTACCATTGTGACCCTAACAACACCACTGGCTGCAGCTTTAAAATAGCTTTTGCTCCTGGTTCTMTTTTCGGTTCACAGTTTCTACATAAAAACAAAGACATTCTTTTAATATTTGCTCCAWAACTTCTATTATATGATTCTTAGGATTCCTTTAATGATTGCTTAAAAACACATTGACTCAAGGCTGTGACTTGGCATTGACTGTTTCTAGTGAAAAACAGCCTCAAGGCTAATTTTCCAAGAAATCCTTTCTGGGAATTACAAATAAATTATGAAAAWAGAGGACTTAAATTTTGTTTCAGTGTCTCCCTCATGAGGCTGATGTTGAAACTATAGGTGAAGGCCTGACAAGCTTAGAAGCAATCCTAAAATACTGAAAGCACCATTTAAAAGTTGCTTACTTAATCTTGAGATGAAATGTATTCTGCTAGAAAGTCCACCTCTTTAAAAGCTGAGCTGATCTGCCGTGGTATTTTATATTAGAAACAAACAAATATTTACACAATCACGTCGTACATTCAGTTACATGTCAGGTTTACGCCTGCAGTAAAACAAGAATATTGATTAATGAAAAAGAACAAGTCTGTATCAGTCATACTGAAAAATGAAAAGGTTGGTATTTAAAAAAGGTGKATGGGTTTAGATGGGTGGTTGCCATTTTCAATGTGGACCCCAACTATGCAGGAGAGTCACAGACATGCCTACAGATCCTGTGTTCTTGCTCCAACACATCAGTTTTCATCAGAGATGGCAAAGGATGTCAACAATCGTTTTATCAACATTTTTATTTATGTTGGGGAACCTGGTTGGACAGAGTTACACTCAATATACAGAATGACATCCAGATGTTAATGCACAGATGGGTCAAGATGGTAAAGTATTCTACAGATTGAACCAATGTCAAATGTCCTTCCTTGTTCTGTTTTCATCTGAAGGTTAAAATGCAACAATGTGCACAGAATCTGTTAATGAAACCTTCAGCATGATTGGAATAATTATTTGTTTTAATGTAATGTATTTGAATCAAAGACAGTGTTACACAGCAAAAGAATGCAACCATCCATCCATCACCTATACCTGCTTCTTCCTTTCAGGGTCGCGGGGGTCACTGGTGCCCATATCCAGCAGTCACAGTGCGAGGGGCGGGGTACACCCTGGACAGGTCGCAAGTTCATCACAGGGTCACACATAGAGACAAATGACACCAGACAATCATTCACTCTCTTACTCACACCTACGGACAATTTAGAGTTATCAGTTATCCTAACTGCCATGTTTTTGGTTTAGGCTTTTTATTTATTTATTTATTTATTTATTTATTTATTTATTTATTTA